CAGTGTCACCTTCCTGGCTATGCACTGTGTTTGAAGTACAAAGGAGTAGGAACACAATTATAAATATTTTGGCATCCAAAACAGTTTAGCCCTGTCTGCATTTCAGCTGTGTACATATCTGTTTGCCAGGAGCTGCACTTTATGAGAACATATTTCATATACAACTCTTACCGAATAATAACACTTTATTCCTTATCCCAGTTCATGGAACATCAATGTGTTACTATGAAGAAAAAGAAGAAAAACAACAATTACCAGTAGAACTGGATTACAGTAGAACAAACAATAGAAATGATTCGATATAATTTACAAGCACAAATGTTACATTTATGTTGCTGACAAGGCAATTCAAGTCTTTGTAAACCTCCAGTAAATGGCACTTGGTTTGCTTGAAGTGATAATAAAGTCAAAAGCTTTTTGAAATGCTGATGAAATTACTTACAATGGATGCTGCTCCTTTATGTTTAAAAGTTTTAGCTTCCTGCAAAATCAGCTGGTTCCCTGAGCTCTGGCCCGGATTTTCGGTTTTGGGGTTGCTCCTTTCCCTTGCAGGGTCCTATGGGGACACCCTTGTGTGTGCTAGTAAGATGTGTGTGTCTCCACAAATACGCAGACACAGCAGAGCAAGCCACTTCCCCAGCTTCTCCCTCTTCAAATGCTAGGAGAAGGACTGCTGCTGAAGACTTTGCTTCCTGTTGAGATTAGTGGACAGGAAGTTCAGGGAAGCCGAGCTGAGAGAGTTGGAAGCTTTCTGCAACCAAGGAAAAACATCTCTCCTGATCCGCAGGTAGTCATATCATGTACAATTACATGTGTACTGTCACAGACAGATGCAGCCGCTGTCACCCTGTTATTAACTTGAATTGGCACAGCGGCCGCATCTGTGTGGGCACACCTGGGATTCCTGCCACAAGGATCCGTAGATTCTTGCACAGGAATCCCCAGCCTCAGCGTGAATACTGTGTGCATGAGGCCTTACAGGAAGGATTCATACAAATCTAAACCCACATAGGCACACCTCATGCATATTACTTTACCTTATACCAGTGTTAGTCAACTTAGTAAAATTAGGGGACCTCAGATGCAGCCCCCGACATATCCAAAAGGCCACTCAATAGCATAGTTTTCATAAATGTGCCATTAAAATGCAATTGCTTGTTTAAAGAAGAACTCTAGGCAGAAACTTATTAAGTGCTTGTTTTTGGCCTGGGGTCAAAAAGTTATAATCACCTAAACCCCCGAGCCCTTAAACCGGTCCCTAGAACATCTCTCCCCCTCCTCTGCAGTGGTCTAGGAATCCTCAAGTCATCACATCAAGTCAGTACACCTTCTACTGCATTGGGTTAGCACATGCGAGTTAACGCAACGCATAGGGGGTGATTTACTAACCTAAACACACATACACACACCAGGTGTGTGTGATTTTCACACAGCAAAACGTATTTATCAACCAAAAAGTCTCTAAAAGCATATTTCCACTAATGCCATATATAGAAAAATCATGCACATGATGCATATATAATGCTGCTTCACAGTTTAGACAAAAATGGTTAGCTCATGCATTTACATTCCTTGCATTCATCAACGCAAGCAACACAACATAGAGCTAATTTACACAACATCACCTTGGAATTCATTCAGGGCTTTGCACAACACACCTGCTGGGTGTGTACACATTACAAAGGTGTTTAGATTCCACCCATAGATCATGCTGGGAGGGAACACACTGCAGAGGTGTATACACATTCGTGGTGTGTTTATAAGGTTAGTAAATCAACCCCATAGTGTCAGAGGCGTAACTAGAAAGGTCAGGGCCCCGGTGCAAGAAACCATAAAGGGGCCCTGCCCACCCCCCACCACCATGGAAGGAGCTACCTGAGTCGCAGCTGCAACTGGGCCCTGGCGTTCCACCACTTGGGGGGGGGTTCATTAAACGCCAAGGTGCTGACATTCTCCCCTGAGACTACAGCTCCCAGCAGGCAGATGCTCTGCAGCTCTTTCCCATGGTGGTTAATATAGGGGTATGGGGGGTAGTATACAAGTGTAGTTTGCGTGGGAGGAAAATACACAGACAGTAGTCTATTATAGGTGGAGAGATTGGGGGATGCTCACTGGGTAGAAAACAGACAGTACGGAGGGGGACACAGAAATTAGTAAGTGATGGAGGGGGAATTAGGATGGCATTGTATCAACTCCCCTTGGTACCTGTAGCTCTCCATCCTCCATTCTATGCCCCTGTGCCGATTACTGCACCTCTCTCCAAAAGCCACGCTGCCCGGAGCTCCGGTCTTTATCTTTCACCTCCCTCACCATGTTGCCTACTGGGCAATGTTCTGCCCTCCCTGGCTACAGCGTCTGCCACACCTCAGTTTCACGAACGCTGCAGGCAGCATGAGGGACCTGAGGGCCCTCTTCTTCCTCCCCGGGCCAATCCCCCCCCTTCCCCGCTGACATGTGCACATGTAGGTTAAAATTCTAAACCACATTGCACTTGCTTATACAAATGTCTGATGCTAAGTGCAAATGTCATTGAGAAGCTGGGTAGGAAACTCCAGCAGTGAGATGTTTTCATGTATGTTCCTGAACAAGGGGGTTCGTTTCAGGCCACTAGCGCCCACCTATAACAGAAATTTCAGTTTTCCATGGACTAGCCCTTTGACACTGTGTGTGGCAGTCATTGAGCCTAATTGTATTATCTTTTCACAACAAACACACACAGATCTAGGTTTGTACCGGCCATGTTTAGATTTGTTCTTAGTGTGATTTCTTTCATAGATTTTTAGACAGAACAGCGTTAATGAGGGAAAAACCCCAGCATGGCCGCTACATGGAGCCGAAGATCATAGGAAATAAATACATGGTAGAAAAGAGATACAATTCAAGAAAACATTGGAGAGAATCGGCATATACCCATTTGTTCCATTCTTACAACAGCTGGTTAAATTGTACTGAACAAATGTACATGCAGCTAGGCAGGACAAATAAGCTTTTAATTGCCAATCTCTGGAGTCTGGAAGCAACATATTTTATTCTAGATATATTATTATATTCTAGAGTGAGGTCTCTAGAACGGGACACCATATTCTAAATAAGGTCTAAATAGACAAATCAAGACCTCATTCCTCCAGCTGGTGATCCCTCTAGTGATAAAGTTAAATATAGGGGGATCAGGCCTTCCCTCCTCCTGCTGGGGATATCTAGGGATGCACCGATACTCGTGCTCCCCCAAATGCTCAGATACCTTCCTCGATACTGGAACTTCCGGTCACAGGAAGATTTGGCAATGCCAGAGGGGAACATGGAGCCGGTTTCCCGGGCAATCAGGAAGCCGGGCGGCGAGTAATGACCCACCTACCGGCTTCCTTATTGGCTATGAAGCCGGCTTCTCAGCCAACCAGCATGGAGCCAGCTATTCGGCCGGCTTTATGCTGATTGGCTGGAAAGCAAACTTCCCAGCCAATCAGCATGGAGCCAGCTGTTAGGTCCGGCTCCATGCTGATTGGCCGGGAAGCAGGTTTCCTGGCCAATCAGCATTGAGCCAGCCAGACATGGAGCCATCTTCCCAGGGAATCAGGAAGCCGGGCGGCATGTCATTACACACTGCCTGGCTTCCTGGGCAATCATGCTTATGCTCCATGCCAGCGGAAGCACCAGTATCGGTACTCAGTATCAGCGAGTACTGACAGCAAAATATCAGTACTCGATACCGAAAAACTGGCATCGGTGCATCCCTAGATCCCTCTAGTGATAACCAAAGATCTATATAGGGGGATCGGGACCTCCTCTCTACTACTGGTGATCCCTCTAGTGATAACTAAAGATCGATATAGAGGGTTCAAATTCTGCTTCTGATGATCCCTCTACTGACAAAGATCTATAAAGGGGATCAGGACCTCCTTCTTCATGCTGGTGAGCCTTCTAGTGATAAAGATCTATAAAGGGGATCAGGACCTCCTTCCTCCTGCTGGTGATCCCTCTAGTGATATGTAAGATCTCTATAGACGGCTCCTCCTTCCTACTGCTGACAATTCCTCTAATGATACATATCTATATGGGGGAATCAGAGCCTCCTTCCTCCTGCTTGTGATCCCTCTACTGATAAAGATCTACATGGGGAATCAGGACCTCCTGCTGGTGATGCTTCTAGTGATAACTAAAGATCTATATAGGCGGATCAGGACCTCTTTCCTCCTGCTGGTGAGCCTTCTAGTGACAACTAAGGATCAATATAGAGGGGTCAGGACCTCCTTCCTCCTGCTGGTGAGCCTTCTAGTGACAACTAAGGGTCAATATAGAGGGGTCAGACCATACTTGCTCATTTTGGAATCATCGGAAATAAGCATCCCAAATCTTTCTGGCCAACATTGCACCTCCCATAGTGTACTCTATCAGAGGATTCTTTGACCCAAAGTGCATTATCTTCCATCTAGAAATGCTTTTCACTGCTGTGACCAATCTTCCAGCAATGCCAATCCACCTCTAGGAATTTCAACCCTATTGTACAACTTTGTATCATCAGCAAAATATGCAACCTCATCTTTGTAATTTTTGTTTTTTATACTTGTCCCTGGTGGGGAGATGTTCCATCACATCCTGTCCAGACAGGAAGTAAGGGGAAATTACCCAAATGGGGACACAGGAGACATTACCCGTCCCTGCCCTAACCAAACCTAAATTTTAAAAATGTTTTTGCTGGGGTTGGCCATTCCACATCATATTTATACACCAAGCAGATGTCTCCAAGTTCTTAGGTATGGCTCCTTCTAACTAGTAAACAACATAATGTCAGAGCAGGGGCAGTCAACCCTGAACTTGTGTCTGGGCCCAGCCACATTCACATGTAACAAGTAACACAATAAGCTGTCTCCTTTTTCCTATAACAATTCCCACATGACAATGAACTCCCCCCTAAACAAATCACAAAGTTACACAAATTACAAACGGTACAGACGTGTGTCAGCTGCTCGCAAACTTCCTCCCAACTTCCGCCGGTGCGTCGCACATTGATGACGACACCAGACCAGAGCTCTGTTGCTTTGGCGGTGTCGTTCACACCTTCCTTTCGGGCGGTGGCGATGCGTCATAGGTGCGACAAACGCGATGGCGGCGAGTAAGAAGAATGTATTGTCGTCCCTGGCGGTGTATGTCGGGGACTCGGAGCCCGAACTGGAGAGTGACGGGGAAGTGGAAGGTGAGACACGAACGGTGCTGGGGGTGAGGGGTGGCTGAGGGTCGGTATCAGAGTGACTGCAGTCCCCTTTTTTCCAGTGCTGGCTGCCTTTATTGTACAGCTCTGGGTATCTGAGGGATTAGAGGGTCAGCCTTGTGTCCCAGGAATGTCCCTGGTTCCCAGTGTTGGTGGGCTGTATATGATATATCATCTTTAGGCAGGACTGGGTATCACAGTGACCAGAGGGTCAGCCTTGTGTCCTAGAAATGTCCCTGGTTCCCAGTGTTGGCTGGCTGTATAGGATATATCATATTTAGGCAGGACTGGGTATCAGTGACCAGAGAGTCAGCCTTCTGTCGTAGAAATTTCCCTGTTTCCCAGTGTTGGCTGGCTGTATAGGATATATCATCTTTAGGCATGACTGGGTACCAGATTGACAAGAGGGTCAGTCTTGTGTGCTAGAAATGTCCCTGGTTCCCAATTTTGGCTGTCTGTATTAGAGCTGCAGCTAACAATTATTTTCAAAATCGATTAGTTAGCCGATTATTATAGGGCTGCAACAACTAATCGACTAAATCGATTATAATCGATTTATTGAAAAAGTTGTCAACGTTTTCAATCATTGATTAATCGGCTTCCGATTAGTTGGCCCTATTCACGGCTCCACACACGCTGCGCGCCGCACCTCCTCCCCACCTCACGCTCTCCGCTGCCAGACCCGCCCGCCCGAATCCACACGCCGCACCTCCTCCTCCGCCCACATCCACGATCGGCAACACGCCACAATGCAGAATAATACCAGCTATATATAGGAGTGCAACAAATCCGAGCAATACATAATACATACAGTGTACAATGTATTGCTGGGATTTGTATTCCTCAATAGCTGATGGTACTTTGCTCCGTATAATATACAGCATAATGTACCATCGGCTATAGAGGAATACAAATCCCACTATCCCAGCAATACATTATAGAGTACCCTGTGTGGGAAAGTGCAGGCTTACCTGAGCAGTCTTCCAGCAACTTGATTCTGAGATCGGGGGTCTATCTGTCGGTGGCTGTCATCCCCCCCCACGCCTGCTCCTCCATACTTCTTCTTCTCCCCGCGTCCCTGTGCCGATCGTGAATGTAGGCGGGCAGTTGGCGGGTCTGGCAGCGGCGGCGATCTTGAGGAGGTGCGGCGTGTGCAAAGCCGTGAACACTGCCAACTAATCGAAAGCCGATTAATCGATGATTGAAAACGTTGACAACTTTTTCAATCGTTTTATAATCAATAGTTGTTACAGCCCTAGTCTGTAGTGTATACCTCATCTTCAGACAGGGCTCCATAACAGTTACTGCAGTGACAGCCTTGTGCCTCTAGAAATGTCCCTGTCTTCCATTGTTGGCTGGCTTTGTGGTATGGCTCATCTTTAGGTTACCTTACTACCAGATTGACTGTTAAGTCTGTCTCAAGCACCTAGAAATGTCCCTGGTCCTAGTGTCGGTTGGCTGTATGATATGGAAAGGAAATTAAATGTATAAGTATGAACAGTGTACTCTTCCATTTTAACACTTTTAATGTGTCCTGCCATTTTAGATGACCTAGTCCTAGGCAGTCTGGTGCCCCGTTCATACGGAGAGGATGACATAAGCAGAGTGGAAGAAGATGGATCCAACAAAGATGATGATGATGCTAGCCAACATTCTGTAAGTAAATTTTGTGAAGGAGGCTATCTGACCCCTAATGATCATGGATGATATACACTATATTGTCAAATGTATTGGGACACCCCTCCAAATCATTGGATTCAGGTGTTCCAATCGCCTCCATGGCCACAGGTGTATAAAATCAAGCACCTAGGCATGCAGACTGCTTCTACAAACATTTGTGAAAGAATGGGTCACTCTCAGGAGCTCGGTGAATTGAAGCGTGGTACTGTGATAGGTTGCCACCTGTGCAATAAGTCCATCCGTGACATTTCCTTGCTAGTAAATATTCCACGGTCAACTGTCAGTGGTATTATAACAAAGTGGACGCAACTGGGAACAACAGCAACTCAGCCACGAAGTGGTGGGCCACGTACAATGACAGTCGCCAACTGTCTGCAGAGTCAATAGCTACAGACCTGCAAACTTCATGTGGCCTTCAGATTGGCACAACAACAGTGCGTAGAGAGCTTCATGGAATGGGTTTCCATGTCCGAGCAGCTGCATCCAAGCCTTACATCACCAAGTGCAATGCAAAGCGTCAGATGCAGTGGTGTAAAGCACGCCGCCACTGGAATCTAGAGAAGTGGAGACGTGTTCTCTGGAGTGACGAATCAAGCTTCTCTGTCTGGCAATCCGATGGACGTGTCTGGGTTTGGCGGTTGCCAGGAGAACGGTACTTGCCTGACTGCACTGTGCTAAGTGTAAAGTTTGTTGGAGGGGGGATTATGGTGTGGGGTTGTTTTTCAGGGGTTGGGCTTGGCCCCTTAGTTTCAGTGAAAGGATCTCCTAAGGCATTAGCATACCAAGACATTTTGGACAATTTCATGCTCCCAACTTTGTGGGAACTGTTTGGGGATGGCCCCTTCCTGTTCCAACATGACAGTGCACAAAGCAAGGTCCATAAAGACATGGCTGAGCGAGTTTGAGGTGGAAGAACTTGACTGGCCTGCACAGAGTCCTGACCTCAACCCGATAGAACACCTTTGGGATGAATTAGAGCGGAGACTGCGAGCCCGGCCTTCTCGTCCAACATCAGTACCTGACCTCACAAATGCGCTTCTAGAAGAATGGTCAAACATTCCCATAGACACATTCCTAAACCTTCGCCTTCCCAGATAAGTTGAAGCTGTTATAGCTGCAAAGGGTGGGCCAACTCAATATTGAACCCTACGGACTAAGACTGAGATGCCACTAAAGTTTATGTGCGTGTAAAAGCATGCGCCCCAATACTTTCGGCAATATAGTCTCTCACTCTAGATAGATAGATACACAGTATATCATTTTATTTAATTTTTTGGTTTACTCACACAGTCACTGTGCTATTGTTCTATTACCAGGAATATTTTGGGACCAACTCAATATTGAACCCTACAGACTAAGACTGGAATGCCATTAAAGTTCATGTGCGTGCACAGGCAGGCGCCCCAATACTTTTGGCAATATTGTGTGTGTGATGAGGATTAAAATAATAAATAAAATAAAATCCAGTTAAATATAACATGATCCCTTATTCCACCTAAGCTGAATGAGGGATTAAATGGATCAAGGCAAAAGTCCTTTTGGTACAGTGAAGGGAGGGGACATCTCATTAATCAGTTTTTACATCGGAGCAGGCTGGGGCCCCATTGACGTTGCTGCTCTTCTGATCTCGGACCGGCTGGAAGTGACATCACGTCACTTCCGGCTTGTCCAGCAGCAGAGAAGGCCAGCTGAGCAGGTAAGAGGAGTTGGGAGGGAGGGAGATGCAGCCCTGCCCAGCCCACCCGAGAACCCTGCAGAGCCCACCATAGAGAGTATCAGATGGGCTGTGCAGCATCTATGGGAGGGCTCTGCAGGGTCATTCTCAGGTATGTGTGGGGTCTCGGGTGGGTCCTGAGCCCAGCGGGTCACTAAGCCCAGAGTCCAGCGGGTCACTAAGCCGAGCTCAATTCATATACTGTTCTGCATTGCTGTATACATGTATTGCTGGGACTTGTAGTCCCCCTAAGCTGGTGCCATTCTGCATTAGAATGTAAGCTCCTCTGTACAGAGACTGATGTGACTGGCTCAGTGTTCTCTGTACAGCACTGTGCTATATGTCAGAGCTATATAAATGTATAATAATAACTAGAAGTGCACCGAAATGGAAATTTTAAAACCGAAACTAAACCGAAATAAAAGTCAGGCCGAAACCGATACCGAAATGTTTTTTATTTTTTAAATATTTTATTTTTTTATAAACTTTTTAATGTTTTTATATTTTTATTCATTTTTTATAAAATATTTTTATTTTTTACTTTTGCTTTTAGGGGCTTCCGGGAAATATTAGGGGTCTAAACAGACCCCTGATATTTCCCTTTTTAAAATAGAAAAAGAGATTGAGAAAGTCCTCAATCTCTTTTTCTGTGTCACCTGTTTATAAATGAACAGGAATCCTCTAAGTGTTCCTGTTCATTGATAACATGAGAACATTGTTTACTATAACTACAATTATGAATAAATGGGGGTAATGTAGATCACTCCTATTCATTCATAATTGAGGATATAGTTAACATACCATATCAATTATGTACAAACACTCAGCGATCACTGATCGCTGAGTGTTTGCTCTTCTCTCTGACACGCTGCCACAGGAGGCTGATCGAGCGGTGTAGAGAGGAGAGCCCAGCCTCCTGTGACAGCGCTGTCTCCGCCCACACACCGCTCTGCCGGACTGTGATAGGCGGCAGAGCAGTGTGGGTGTGGGAGGAGACGCTCACAGCGCTCGGTCGCCTGTCACTTTCTCTTCTCCCCGTTGTGACATAGAGCAGCGCCCAGTGGGGAGGAGAGAAAGCAGGGATGCGCCAATGTATCGGCAGGAAAATGGCACTTTCAGCATTATGCCAAAAGTGCAATTTTCGGCCGATATATCGGTGCATCCCTAATAATAACAGTGTGACTGGCTCAGTGTGGCAGCGGTGCGGGGTGTCAGCAGTGTGGGAAGGGGGGCCCCGGCCTAAAGCCATGTAAGGGGACCCAAAATTTCTGATGGCTGCCCTGCGCATGTCCTAAACTTTATATAGTTCTTACAGGAACTGCAGAGGGGCATTTTTGCAGATTTGTGGTCACTAATCTTGCAAGGAGAGGGGGGTGAGCTTCTTCAGTTCTCACACAGTATCATAGTGGGTTGTGCAAGTGTACAAGATTCATAAATGACCTCCAAACCCTGGAGTCCACAGTTTCGTACTCAAGAAGACTCAAAAACCAAAAACACAGTTTTAGGACTGTAACAGACTTTAGCACAATAGTGAACCCCAAATAATTACATCCAATGTACGAATATAACAACTCAAAATTCCCTCAACAGCCTTTTCAAATGTCCCCTTATGACCATAAATTTAAAAAATGTTCCCCTATAAAACCCCACCATTTCCAGTGCCCCATAATATGTATTTTCATAGATCCATATTAATAAACAATGTACAAAACGCAGTCTAGGATCGTGACACCAGTAAATCATAGTAAATCATCTCACACTTATATTTTCAACCAATTATGGTCTTATATGGCAGTAGAAGAAGACGTTGCCATCTGTGAAATCTAAATGACATAGATCTACAGTTGTGTGAAAAAGTGTTGGCCCCCTTCCTGATTTTTCATTGTTTTGCACGCTTGTCACACCTTAATGTTTCAGATCATCAAACAAATGTAAATATTAGTCAAAGATAACACAAGTAAACACAACATGCAGTTTTTAAAGGAAGGTTTTTATTAAGGGAAAACAAAATCCAAACCCACATGGCCCTGTGTGAAAGTGTTTGCCCCCCACACCCCCCCTGTTAAAACATAACTTAACTCTGGTTTATCACACCTGAGTTCAATTTCCCTAGCCACACCCAGGCCTGATTACTGCCACACCTGTTCGCAATTAAGAAATCACTTAAATAAAGGTGCCCATACACTGTACGATTATCGTACGAGAATCGCGGGAAATCCCGCGATCGTACGAGAATCGCAAAGTGTATGGAAGGCGTGCGACTGTTTCTACTGTACGGTCGCACGTCTTCCGCTGAACAAGCAGGCTTGAAAACCCGCCGAGAATCGTACGATTCTCGGCGGGACCAACAGTAAAATATGGTGGTGGTAGTGTGATGGTCTGGGGCTGTTTTGCTGCTTCAGGACCTGGAAGACTTGCTGTGATAAATGGAACCATGAATTCTGCTGTCTACCAAATAATACTGAAGGATAATGTGCAGCCATCTGTTCGTGACCTCAAGCTGAAGTGAACTTGGGTTCTGCAGCAGGACAATGATCCAAAAACACACCAGCAAGTCCACCTCTGAATGGATGAAGAAAAACAAAATGAAGACTTTGGAGTGGCCTAGTCAAAGTCCTGACCTGAATCCTATTGAGTTGCTGTGGCATGACCTTAAAAAGGCGGTTCATGCGCGAAAACCTTCCAATGTGGCTGAATTACAACAATTCTGCAAAGGTGAGTGGACCAAAATTCCTGCACAGCGCTGTAACAGACTCATTGCAAGTTATCGCAAACGCTTGAGTGCAGTTCTTGCTGATAAGGGTGGCCCAACATTTTTCACACAGGGCCATGTGGGTTTAGATTTTGTTTTCCCTTAATAATAAAAACCTTCCTTTTAAAAACTGCATGTTGTGTTTTACTTGTGTTATCTTTGACTAATATTTAAATTTGTTTGATGATCTGAAACATTAAAGTGTGACATTAAAATCAGGAAGGGGGCCAACACTTTTTCACACAACTGTATGTATACAAATATGGTTTATAAGATAAAGAGCACCCAAGTGACCATGTGATCAACATTGAACATTATTCCATTGTATTCCTTAACTGCCTCCGGGCCGGCCGTAGTAGAAAAACGGCCGGCCCGGAGCTCTCTAGATCTAAGCGGGCGTCTTTAGGCGTCCGCTCAGACACGCCCCCTCGCGCGCGCGGAAAATTGCCGTTTTTTTAAAACAGGCAGCAATGCCCGATACCATACAAGCGATCCGCCGGCTTTAGAGCC